GACTTGGGAGGGGGGGGGGGGGGAGGCCAGCCCCAGAAGAGGGACTTTGTCAATTTTTTGGTCGGCCTGAAACCCAGGTATTTTAGGAATTCCAGGGATCTCAGGGATTATAACTTTGGGGCAGAAAAGTCGGTATGCACCCCCTTATTTCACTGTCTGAGGGGGTGTATTGTATAGGGTATAGGGTAGGCCACAGGTGGGCCTGTGTGTATGTATGCGTTTATGTATGTACATATGTATTATATGTAAATGCATATTGATTTGAATGTGCATCAATTTGGGGCGGATTCGGTGTGATTTCCTTGTTTTTTCCTGGCTTCTACCTCAGCTCCGTGTACCGAGGACCCCATACGGCCATACCCAGCTTAACAAAGCCACTCGAACGGAGGTCCGGGGGAACAGATCTCACATCCTCAGTCGTAATACGGAACTTTCTTTGGTCAGTCCTCAGTTTTTTCACGCGTTTTGCTTCCCTTCAGTCCTACCATCATCCACCGACGGCCAACTCGCTAACTTTTGTTTCCTCGGACGAAGTCGCTAGGCCTCAAGTTCAGCCGATTACGCATTCCGATTCCGCATTGTACACGCCTGCCACTGGGTCATCGAGGCTCGAGTTTGGAAGTTTACTGCGTCGGTTCGATTTCCTTATTTTTTCCTGGCTTCTACCCCGGCTCCGTGTAACGAGGACCCCATACGGCCATACCCTAGCTTAACAAAGCCACTCGAACGGAGCGTCCGGGGAACCCGCGCGGAGATCTCACATCCTCAGCCGTAATACGGAGCTTTCTTTGGTCAGTCCTCAGTTTTTTCACGCGTTTTGCTTCCCTTCAGTCCTACCATCATCCACCCGACGACCAACTCGCTAACTTTTGTTTCCTCGGACGAAGTCGCTAGGCCTCTAGTTCAGCCGATTACGCATTCCGATTCCGCATTGTACACGCCTGCCACTGGGTACCATCGAGGCTCGAGTTTGGAAGGATCGCTGCGTTCGGTTCAGCTATGCACGGAGCTACCAATGGGAACCCCGTCACGGTAAGTTTACATAGATCGTCTAGGATCACCATCGCCATGGCTTTCCTTCTTCTCCCTTTCCGATCTAATATTCAACATAATCCCTCGTGTTTTTTTATTTCATTTCATCAACTGACCGTATGACTTTTACACGCTTTCATAGAACTCGACTGTCAACCGATCCTTGATAGCTTCACGTCCGTCTTCGTCGACCGTCGACCGATCCTTGATAGCGTCACGTCCGTCTTCGTCGACCGTCAACCAATCCTTGATAGCGTCACGTCCGTCTTCGTCGACCAAAAACCCCACCAGCCGCTCACCCCCCGAAGTGATTACGATCAATACAGACGATGAGGATGAACATATAAAGATAACAAGCGCTCCCAAGGTATGTATCAATTCCGCTACCTCTACACAGCATTCCAATCCCTCAAACAATCTGGCTGAAATGATCTACCCTGTACTTTCTGGAACAGGCCAAGCCAAGAACGTCCACAAAACCAACCTGTGGTCTGGATGTTTCATCCTGGAATGTCGGAACGAAGAGTAAGCCTAATGGGCACGACAAACTCAAGGACTCCAGCTCACGACCGATCCTTTCTTCATCCACAAACTGCCTCAACCATGTAGACCAAACTCAAGAACCAAAAAGCATTCAGCCACACACTTCAAGCTCATCGACCAATCACAGGGACTCATGTAGTAGCTCTCAGCCGGTAAGTGAATTGAACCAATGTCAAGTCAAAAAAACCTACCTGAACTCAATACATAGATGGCCTAGTCAACAAATCTCAACCAAACTCACTCACATGTTTCTTGTTCTCAGGATTTTGCTGGGATCTCTAAAAGCAAGCAACCAAATTTACATGCCAGGGAGCTCACGAAGGAACGATCTCAACACGCAAACCTTATGAACACTGCTCATTCAAAGGGAACTCTGAATTCATCAAAAAGTAATGTGCGTTGCTCAGAATATGCAGTCAAAATCACGTCTTAAATGTCATTGCACCAATATAACATTGTTTCTCACATATTGACTTATGCTGACATATTTTTGCCTTCAGTCTCACCCGACTCATGTCTCAAAGATCACTGAAGACGCACCACAATCAACCAAGCAGGGAGAATCTCAACATTTAAGCCAAGCAAGAACCACCAAGCATTCCAATGGACAGAATGACGTCATTAACAAACTGGTACGCTAGCGAATTTCAAGTGGAATTGCATGCCCGTTTGGGATGCTGGATTGAATTCTACTGTCCCGTTTCATATAGAATTTTTTCAGCTATCTTCCTTCCTCAGGATCCGGCAATAGCTCGATGCGCAAAGAACAACCTTCTGGCTCATCCGCATCCACATCGAATCTCTCAAAATCTGGCACCAATAAATCCAGCAAAAAACAGGACAGTGACACTTCTTGGGCTACATCAGCGCTCAAGCAATCCATGGTACGGCCAGTCGTTAGTATCAAAAGAGGTTGTTGTGCTTTTTTTTGGATTGTCAACTCAACCCAATTTCCCTTTGCAGCATGCGCGCCAACAAGAGGAGAACGCTAAACGTATGGAGCTTAAGCGTTTGCAGTCCCGCGGATCAGCTAGCGCAGTAGGGACAGAAAGCAACAGGTGTACCCAACCCGGTTCTAGTGTGCTTACAGGCTCTACCACCACACATGTAAGATCATACTGTGTAGCTAATTCATAAGAAAGAAACATTGATCACTTGAGATGTAGACTGAAATTTGTTTCTTTCCTTCAGTCTATCATTAGATCCTCTGGCTCCAATGTCACATCTAGCACCTCATCCGCGTTGGCAAAAGGCAACAACAACACATCCAGTATGTGTGCCTCGAACCAGGGAGACAACACATTCTCGCAAAAGATCCTAAAAGCTGCTTCAACTGTTCCTCCCAATGGTATCAATGCCTCTTCTGAAGCTCCTCATGCCCCAAAGAAAAGAAAGCACATGAGTCCACCTCAGTCAAAGAAGGTAAAGTTTCCCCCACCTCAAACACTCTGTGCCCTAGAGTTGATCAGATTAACTTTTATTGCCTCACTAGCTTGAAGAAAGGTTTGTTGAGTTATCCAATGCAGATCCTATGCAACCTGTTCCCTCCGCTTCCTGCCCACCACCACGCAAAAGCATCTCGAATGTTGTTCCTTTGGAGCCCGGCCCTCAGCTCAAACAAAACAGTTCCTTTGGCAGTAACATTAACAATCCAACCCACACCAATGTAAACCCTTGTGTTATTCACCCTGTTGCAACCTTGCCCCCACCCAAGGTAACACCTAGACCTAGGGTAAGTGAAATGAAACACTCTCAATGCCCTAGTCATCATTTTACAGTGTCACTAATTGCTATCTGTAAAGCCTGTATCTCCTGACTGGTCCCAGGTACCCTCTAACCGACGACCATTACAAGGCCGGGAAAGACCCGATGAATTCTCAACCGAACTGCAGAGGGCGTGGATACTCACTAATAATCCCGATCTTACTACCCCACTTGGTCATCTCATTTTTAGCGAAGAGATCAATGCTAACCAAATGTGGGAAAATCAAGAGATCCCACACATTGATGTTGTTGTGCCTGATGAGGTGAAAGCACAGATGCTTCAAGATTCAGTTGAGTTGCTTGAACCTTATCTACTACTGCTTCAGACAGCTCATCATGTGAATCTGCACAAAGAAAGCAGCCGCTTTGGATGAAGAAGGCAAATTGACGGGATTGGATCAATCACTGGCACCACCACTTGAATTTGTATACACAGACCGGTGAGTGATGATTTGTTTTGTGTAAAAAAAATAATTTCGCCAGCTTTTCCAAGCTCACACTATGCCTTTTGCCAATTCAAACCAGGGTGGTCTACCGAAACAACGAGCGACCAATTCCTCCCACTTGGCAGTGTCAATGTGAGGGTGACTGTTCTGACGATCCAAACTGCGAGTGTCGCATCTATCAGACAAAAATGGTCAGACAAACCGCCGAGGCACTTGGTGTCAACCTGAACGAAAGTGTTACAAACTTTGAAGGATTTGCCTATGTCTCCAATCGCAAACCTCGCCATTCTCACTTCAAGAAACCGGACAATGGGGATCTTGAAGCCAGGTCTGTGGCTGGATTGTTTCTAGATCATTCCTTCCCAGTATTTGAGTGTCACTCCAAAGTAAGTCAACAATTTGTAGTTTGGCTCTTAATTCTTTCAGCAACTGACCATGACCATGTTATATTACATAGTGTGGGTGTGGCCCCAATTGCATCAATAGGGTAAGATTTCTGTATTTAGCTAAGATAAACATGAGATTCCAACACTGTTTGTGTGCAATCCTAATACTTTTTGAGTGCTTTAGACAGTTGGCAGGGGCCGTCGAGAGAAATTGTCCATTCAGAAGACGCTTTCACGTGGTTGGGGTTAGTACCTTGCTTGATCCCAGAGCATAAAAACAGAAGCTGATCTGATTTATGAACACTGCTTTTAGGTGTTTTTGCTGACCATCCAATTCCCACCGGCCGACTTGTCACACATTACAGGTGTGCTGCCATTTTTCCTGAGTCCATCTTTTTCCCACTGTTTGTGGTAAATTGGGTAGCACTGATCAAGCTGTGAAATCAACAGTGGCGAGCTGATTACCGATGCAATGTCTGATGAGCGCAGCCGGAGTAAATATGACAAAATTGGCAGAACTTACCTATTCGACCTGGATCCATGGTGGATTGAGACCATTGACTCAAACAGTCTTGCGAATGAAGGGCTAATTGTAATCAGTGAAACCAAGCAGTTCTCAGAAGCTCACAAGAGACTAACAAGTGGTGGTAGCCTTCAGAATGTCACTGGACCACTTTTCAATTCTTCATCAAAAGCCAAGAAGAAACAAAGCAAATCACAAAAACCAAAGGAGACCGACATTGATGGTGTTTATAGTGTCGATGCTTTTTGTACGTTTTCCACTTGATTCATCCTCCTGCACATACACATCTTCTGACATTCTGGCTCCTTCACCACATTTATCCTACCAGTATATGGCAATGTTTCTCGGTTCATCAATCATTCCTGTAGTGCCAACACCGTTATTGTGCCTGTTTACATTGAGGATGTAAGCTCCCAGTCAATTGCCTGCTTTATTCTTGCTGTATGTCCTGGAATGCTCACTCGGTTATCATTTTCTTAATATCTCCTTACAAATCAACATTGGATGGCTTGCTGCTGCTGTTTCAGAGTGACCCTACTCGACCGTATGTTTTCTTTGTGTTTTTTCATTGTGACCAAATAAAAGGATTGACTGACTGACATATGTCCCAATGGACAACATTTGATCAATAATGATGCTGATGATGATCAAACATAGGATCTTTGCCATGTTTGCAAAGAAAAACATCAAAACAGGCACTGAAATTACGACTTCATATTCGGATCCAAACGATGAGGAATACAAGAGATTGGAGACAGGTCAAATGAACAATGAAAACCATGCTCTATTTATGCCATGCAAATGTAATGCACCTAATTGCAAAGGCATAATGTTTGCTTAGATCATTTTTTTGAATTAGGAGATAGTGTTTAACAAAGCCACCTTTTGGTCTGTTTTCTTCCCTCACCTTACCTTTTCCTTTGTTCCTTTTTGTTCCTTTACACATGATTCTATTTGATTTGGTTCCTTGATTTTGTTATCTCTGGCCACAAGTATCACATAATATACTTAATGAATCCAGTCTTCTTACCCTTATGACTTCTTACACAATATCTTTCTCTCTGACTTAAGCGCAAAATTTTCCATAGTACATTATAGGGTTTTCCATTAGAAGAATATTAAGCACATGATGTCTATCTATTTATCCACTGCAATGATTTGTTTTGTTTTTTTAACTCTCAACTCCCTTTTTTGAATTATAAGATGAATGCAAGTCATGCTACTTTTGTCAATGAAAGTGTTCTCTTGTCTCTCTAAAGAATTGAGCTGTCAGCCCTTTTTCATATCTTTTGGCAGGCAGGTTCTTTATAACCTTGTCTGCTTGATTTGACAAGAACAGTTCCTTGTTGTCTGGCCAATTCAGGGGTACTCAAATGATGAGGCTAAAGATGGCAATAGAGCCAATCTGATAAATGAATTAGTCAGAAAAAGCCAATGTGAAATAAGGACTGCTGATTATCAACAACGGCATTCACAGAGAAAACAATGGGAAAATCAAGAATAGTGGCCGTTTTTTATTGGCTTCATTTGAGGCAAGCTAACTACAGTGATGGTTACTGAGAGGATTCAAGATGAATCTATATACATTTTTGATCCATTGATTGCTTGATTAATTTCTGATACAATTCATAGTCATCTTCATCAATCAGATTATTGAGATGAAAATCTTGATGAATGGCCTTCTCAAACTTGTATAGTTTTGCATAGAGATCAAATAATTGTATACCTGTCAACACATCTTCCTCCTCTTGAAAATCATCCAAACTCAAGATCAGCTTTTGGAATAACTGTTGTGTGCTGAAAATTTTGAATGGATCTACATCCACATCTCCCGTTTGATTCAATCCAATCTTTTTCAAAATTCCCTCAAACATCTCCCTTTGTGATTTATTGAAATGTGTTACAACCCAGATATGATTCTTTGCAGTAGATACTTTTTTCTCTGATTGATCAAGGTCTTCAACATTTTCTTCGAGATGAATGGCTTTTTTCTTGACTGAATCCAACTCATGATCCTCATTGAATGTGGGTTTTTTACTCCATTTTGAAATCTGCAGCAGAATTTCCTTTTGTGATTCAGTTAAGGTTTTCAGGAAGGCATCAAATTTTGCAATGAATTTCAACTTTTGAGAAATTGAGACTAAGTTTTCAATTTGAGCATGAGCAGGTGAGACATCATGATCAGCTGAGGTGATTCCTTGGAGCAAATTCCTGTTTTTGCCTAAAGTTTCAATCAAGGTGTTGAATTTTTCAAGATCAACACTTTCATATGATTTTGAATTCTGTTGTGGGTTTAATGCCAGATATCCTTGATGTTTATTACAATAAGTTCAAGTTCAAAGAGTCAGTATATGTCCAAACAACACAGATGAGGGATTCAACCTGGGACTACCCACTAATTGAATCATGCATGATTTGATCATGTCCCCCAGGTTTGGATGACACTGTGTTTGGAAGAGTTTTTGAGTTAGATTCATGCCTGGGAAATTGGAATTGAATGAAATTCAAAGCACTAACCTTCAACATCTTTGAACATTTTAGAAGCTATAAGATGAGAATCGTTGAATATCAGAATTTGGAAGATAATACAATATGGAATTCATTGTTGAAAAAGTCAATTTGGAAAATTTGAATTATTCCAAATCTGAAATTCATTAAGGGAAAGATCACATGAAGAAATGGAATACCATCTGGATTTTCAATTTTTGCTTCACCATGTGGGCACTTGCAGTGGGGAAATTTCAAAATTTCCTCTCCTCTCCTAAATAGATGTTTTGAGGAAGAATTTGGGTATGCTGAAACACCCAAGTAATTTATTATCTTCAAGGAAAGCAAGACCTTGGCTGATGGGATGGCTATTGAGGATTTCATTTTTGGTCTGTTTTTAGCAGAAGTCCAACAAGCTGGTATTTCCAGGGGATTGAACCCAAAAAGCACAATGCTATTTTATGATTCAAACTTTGTCTATATTCCTTTTCCAAACAAGCGCATTGAATTTTCTTGTTTGAGTGCATCCTATCTGATCACAAAGGCATTTTGTACAGCCAGTAGAGACTGGTAATGAAACAATTGACTTATTGATCAAAGAAACCTTATAAGATGCTATGTTTCACTGTGAATCAATGCTTGGTATGTTTCAGGAAAATGTTACACACCAACTTGATACTGGCCAGGAGACACTTGGTCACTGTCTTGACAAAGATCACACCTTGAAACAGAAAAAATAGATACAAGATATATTATCATCATGTATCACTTGATTTCTCAAAGCTTTCATGTCAGCTCTTGATTGCATCCATGTAGCAAGTTATATATTGAAAAACAAAAAATGGATATCAAACAAGGAGTTAACTGTAATTAAATTCAACAGTTGTACTTAGAATTTGGGGATCACGCCAGTGGGCTTGGAGATTGAACAGGAGTTGTTTGGTGGGTGCTCAGACAAGTTTGACACATCTTGAAGAGAACAAATAAATGTAAAACTTATTTCAAGTTATAAAACACCTGCAGATGTTACCTTGGGCTTTTACTGAATACCTGCACTGTTTTCACCCAGTTTCAAGACACAATTCTAATTGGAAAAAATTCCTCTTATGATTTTTTTGCTATGGAAATCCTGTTGAAACTCAGCTGGAATTTTGTTGTGAGGTAATGTTGGAATTCTGTTGTCTCTCTCTTTCCTCCCTTTCATCCCAATGTTACTCCTTTCCCATCTGTCACTCCTTCCCCATCTGTCACTCCTTCCCCATCTGTCACTCTTTGCCCACCGGTCACTCCTTTCCCACATGCCACTCCTTTTCCAGTTCCAGATGAATATTCCTTTTTTTCACCTTCTGTCCCACAACTCAGCCCGCATTTGTATGTATATAAGTAGCTATACTTAAGAGTTGAAGAATCAAAATCATCTAATTCCCACAAGCATTTACCTACCGTCTCTGATACATAAAACCTCATGTAGCGTGAGCGCTTTTACACCACTTACACTAGCAGCTTAGCCTCCTTTGAGGCCTTTTGACCTTGTTTTTTTCCTCAAGCCTTGAGTCTTGAGTTTTTTTTTTTGCTCTGTTTGCTTTCCCTCCCTCTTTCTGAGGCATTCTCCCACAGTTTCATCAGGTAATATTCACCATAACATTTCATAAATATTGTCTGTGAGGCTCTTGTGTTACATTCTTTGCAACATTCTTTCAGACCACCACCCAGTTGATCTTGCCTTAATGCCAGAACCAAGTATGTAACAGATACAATACTCTGTGTGTATCATAGAGAGTTCTGCAAAGATGCATGACCAAAAACTCAATAGTTGCATCTCCTTGCAAATACCAGCACATTGGTCAGATAATTTTTTCATTGGGGGTCAGATAAATGGAGTGATACATGACAGATACATGACAGATACATGGCAGATACTGTATCTGTTTCATCCTTGCCAGAACTCATCCAATCTCAAGTGAGTCACCAGTTCTTCAGGACATGTTTTCTTTCTCATTCAGATTCCCCTTCTTTCAGATCTCATCATCTTCCTACTCATGGTTCCTCTTCTTTCAAATCTGATCATCTCCCTGCTTGTGATTCTTTTTGTTTCACAATATCCATTCCATACCATACCTTATAACATTTACACTCATTGCTTTACTTGACTTTGTCAAAATCTCTCTTCTCTCATTGATCCTCATAAAAACATTTTGCATGACTGTTTGACCTTTTCAAATCAACTCAAGATTATTCAACAGTACCAACCATCTCTTTTCACAATTAGGTGAGAAACCAAGAGCCACAAAACCATCCTCCTCACTTCTTTCCTTTTGTATCTGTTGACTGATATCTTCTCTTTGTTTCTGATTTTTGTTTGGTTGTATTTCTTCTCTTGCATATCAGTATTCTTGATTGCTCTATTATCTCTTACCTGGGGGTAAATCTTGTTTCCATATGTATTTTTTGTTTTGTCTATTTTTCAAGCCCATTTTTTCCTTCGTTTGGGTATTTTTTTTTCAGGAAAGAAAATCATCAGGTACTTCAATGAAAAACCCTTCTTTTCAAAATAGAAAAGAAGAAGAAGAAGAGAATGGATGAAACACAAACAGTAATAAATCCCAAAATATTGAATATAGATATGAAAGAGATAGGAAAAATAGGCTAGTATGAAGATCCATTGGAGTGAAATAATTCATGAGTAGAAAGCAAATTTAAAGAAAAAAGTATCATTAAAATGCAGCAGGTATATTATAATTTCACCTTTCATGAGAAATTGAATCCTGGATTAAATTATGATACAATCTATATTCATCACCATCCCAATTGTCTACTGTGAAATCATCATTGAAGTCTTTCTCAAAATTTTGTATCTTCAAATCAAGCTCCATTAACTTTATTCCCTTCAAGATATTTTCATTTTCTGGATGATTATCCAAGCCAGCCTTCAATATATCAATTTTTTGCTGACAATCAAAATTGTCATATTTTTCATTGCTTGTTGAAATTCTCCCATGTATGTTTGCTGTTGATTGATTGACAAATTTTGAAACCCACATATCCAAATTTTGAAAGTCTAAATTCTTTCCAAATGAACCAAATTCATTTTTTTCAAATTCTTCTGAGGTGTTGATCATGTTGGGTGTTTCTTGATGAAAACTTTGTGCAACTTTAAGTAAAACTTCTTTTTCTGATTGAGTCAAAGTTTTCAGGAAATTTTTCAAACTTTGAATGAAAATATCTTTGTCTAGCCTTTCTTTCATGATGTTATTGAATTTTGCAAGATCTTCATTGGACTTTGGAGTGTACTTGTGTGATATATTCACTTGATTTTTATTATGATATGTTTGAAATCCAAAATTCAGTATCTGAATGCTTTGTTGCATTATTGAGGGTGACTTGAGGTTTTAACTGATACCACTTACTATCTAAAGCCTGAATGCTATGAGGTCCATTATCTTTGGCTGTACCTTGAAGGTCTGATGCCACTGGAAGTACATGAACAGTTTCTCCTCCACATTAGATATCTTGCTAAATGTGAGAATTTCTTTTGAGTACTGTGATTCAAATTACTAACGTTTTGAATCCTCACACTTTTTGGAAGCTGTAAAATGAAGATTGTCAAACATGAGCATTGAACAGGAAAAAATATATCAAGTGGAAAGGTTGGCATACAGTGCAATTCTTCAGTGTTCTCAAACTCTAAAAAAATGAAAATCATCAACTATCCATTTTGAGAATAGAATGAAATATTTCAAATATTTCATTTGAGGAAGATATCACATATATTGACACACCATATGATTGTTCTATGTCTTCTTCATTTTGTGGGTGCTTGCAGTGGGAAACTTCTAGAAGATCTTCTGCTCTTCTCACTAGGTTTTTTGAAGATGAAATTGGGTGTGTTGAAACACTATAGTAATGTAAGAGCTGTGAGAAAACTAAGAACTTGTTTATAAGCATGGCTATGGATTGTATTTTTTTTATCTTTTTTAGAAGTTAGAAGTTGAGGCAGATTATGTTTTCAATGAGGATGGAAAGTTGGGAAGTGGTATTTCAAGATGTTTCAAAGAATATTTATAATCTGCAACACAGAAGTTTCATTGATTGAGTGCTCAAAACCTTCAAGTTAAATACAGATCTGCACCAAGTGGATACTGCTCATGAGACAATTACAAAATTGTTTCAACAAAAATTTGAAATTGAATCAATACACATGGAGAAACATCTTGATTATGACCTTGTCCTTGTCCCACCCCAAAGCCTGTATATCAAGGCTTGCTTTGCTAAAACAAATGGTATGATGACTTGAAAAACGGATTTCAAATAATCATGAACCTGACATGCAAAATGAATCTAGTAAATTGGTGGCTCAATCCGGCTAGATATTCAGCTTATCCTTGCTCTTGCATTTTCTCAAAGTTTGTACACATGTTATATTGTAAATGCAATAGCTTCTTCTTTTCAACACAACCACATTATCGCATCTTGTTGGAGTTTTTTTTGGGGGGGATTTTACTGTGACTATCATTTTATTTTAAAAACATAAAAAATATAAAGTCAAAAACAATTGAAAAGAATTTTAAAAAAAACGGTTTGTAATTGCTGAAAAACAAAAACCCAAAAAGAACAGAAAAGAGAAAAGAGACAAAAAAGGAAAAAGAAAAGAGAAAAAAAAATAAAAGAACAGAAACAAAAAAGATAAAAAAATAAAAAGAAAAAAGAAAAAAAGTAAGAAAAAAAAAAGAAAAAAAATGGCCTTGAGGCTGGGGGGAACCCCAGCGTCCCGGCCAGGTTGACCGGAAGGAAACCCTTCCGGTCAAGACTCTTGGGGGCGGTACCCGGAGCGGTACCCGGGTACCTCCCCTGTTTTTGCCAAAAAACCGGCACCCGGCACCGCACCCGGCACCGCCTGGCGGGTGCGAGGCGGGTGCGGGCGGTACCCGCCGAGCGGTACTAGGTACCTAGCAACGGGTACCGACGAACGATCTCTAGTATGATGACTTGAAAAACAGATTTCAAATAATCATGAACCTGACATGCAAAATGAATCTAGTAAATTGGTGGCTCAATCCGGCTAGATATTCAGCTTATCCTTGCTCTTGCTTTTTCTCAAAGTTTGTACACAGTCTATATTGGAAATGAAATAGCTTTCTTCTTTTCAACACAACCACATTATCAATCTATGGTTCCCTTGCCGGTTACTTTATAGCTTCTAGGGAGGCTGCATCATCACACAAGCCCTCCCTAGATAATTTGTGGGTGACAGGTGTGCACAAGCATCCTGACAGGCCAACACAAAGTGAGGAATGACAACCAGTGCTGTCAAACAGACAAGATGATCATCAGATTATCCTACAACATACAAGAAAAAAAAAGCAAACACATAGGCATGGCCACGGTGCTCTATTGTATCCTGGCAATGGAAGGAAGCCCTGATCCAACCAAGTCTCTCTTATTTGGAGGGGGAAGCCGTTCCACAGGCCAGGCCCTTCCACTCCGGCGAACCATCGGATGAGACTTTCAAGAGGATTAGTTAAGTTAGAAGGAGATCTGTGGAGTGTGGACCTGTGTGGTCTGTTGATTTGGCACAGCGGTGCAATCTTTTCTGCGCCCGCGCCCGCGCTCCCTTGAGTCGTTGAAAGGAGCCCCTCATGACGGCGAAGGTCCCAGGGCCTCCCGGGTTCGAATGTCCCGGACTCCCGGTCAACAGTCAAGACAACAACCCAGCTGACTGTCAACTTGTCAAGCGCCGTCTCTTGAACCGAATTTCTGTTTCAGCAAGAACATAAAGGCAACCGAACGAGGAAACAGGTATATTCAGCCATGGAGAGATTAGAGCTGCCATTTTTCTCAACGATAATGAACGTATGGCTCTTCGAACAAGTCAAGAATACCGCCGAGATCAAGAAAGCGTTAATCCAAGCCAGTCAGACTAACGACGAAGCCGAGCAGAGTAGGTTGGATTGGGCGTTCATCGATGCTTCAATGGTATGTAACTCATTGCCCCATCAAGTCTGCTTTCTCTTGATCTAGGTGTAAAAATTTAATGATTGGGTTCTGTACAACAGAAACAACAGACAAAAATAAATTCTTCAGGACACTCAAAACCTGAGCATGTGGCGTACTCGAGCTAATACTCAATTCCATTCAAACAGATCACATCTCGTCAACACCTCACCACCGCAGTTTGCCAAGCACTTGTCACTCAGTCGCACGGGGCCCTGAAAACGAAAACGCTTCACTCCGAAATCCTATGGACATTGTCCCCTGGAACAAACGTATGCGCCCTGAGCTTTCCTTTTTGACTATCCCCCGAAACAACCCAAGGAAAACCAGTCGGTTTGGAATATGGATGACTAAATTTGATTTATAATGTTTGCAATCCAGATCATGGAAGCGATCAAGAAGTTCGGTTTGGGACCACAAACGAACGCGCTGTTACTAGTTAAACTTCAGCCGATAGAAGGTGATAATCAGCCGTCAAAGGAAGCACTGGACCAAGCAGCGCAAGCACTCGTTGACGGGACACTCGTCAAACTGGACGATCACCTCGGTAAATCTATTGTAAATTGGAAGGAACTGAGGAAGATTTATAAGCTGAACGACGACCCGGTCATTAAAGGACTTGAAGAACAGAGCAAGAGGACCGCCAGTGATGTAGAATGGCATGCCATGATCGATCAGCTCGCCACTGCTACCGTTGCACTTAAATCCGTTGCTGCGTGAGGTACTCCTTCAAGTTGGGTCTTTGGGGATCTGTTGTACCATTTACAAACTCTTTTCAATCGAGCACATACATGGCCAACCCGTTTGAGAATCTATGTGTCCATAAATAAACACACCGAACAATCATACAGTCACCCCAGGGATCTCGATCGTCCAGATCACTCTCTCATCACTCATCACTTCGACTGCATCAGTCTCAGGCAGAATGTGGTTCGAAGTCGAAAGCAGTCCTGTGATGGAAGTTTTCGCTTGACCTGATTTGTGTTGCCGCATTTTTACCAATTAATGAGTGTGACGCAACGAAACATTGAACCGTTGGGTTGTTGGCGTTTTTTGTTGTTTTTTTTTGTTGCAAAGTACAAATCAATTCGTCAGGTCGCTTTCATTCTTTACCTCTGGACAGCTGGGATAAAGAAGTTCACGCACTCAAGTTCCACTTCAGCCCCTTCGTAGTCACGGTAGCTTGATTGATTCCGATAGGTAAAATTCCGCACGTCAACGGACTCGGGCCTTGTCTCCAGCTGGGCGGGATGACCAAGAGGTGTTTCATCTCCCGTTCGAGAGCACAAGCCATGCTTCCAGCATCGGTATCCACTACCCAAGTTTCTGGGACACCTTGCGAGAGATTGCTTGACGAAGTTGGCGATGGGCAAAGCCTTGCGAGGAGAGTATGAAGGGTATGGATCGTTTGGTCGAGTCTTCCCGTGAGACCACCATGGATGAGCAATAAGCCAGTCGAATGGTTGTAGTAGTCATTCGAACCAGATTGCCTTTCGAGCCCTTCGATCAACGCTAGACATTTCCCGAAGTCCGTCGAGTCTTGGTCTGGATCTCGAGTGACTTGAGATCCAGAACGTTCGTAGAATTGCTTGACTTCTGGTCGGATCGAATCCAAATCTCCCTTGATGTAATCTGGTATCAACATCTTTCGAGCTTCGCCCAAGGCTGAGCAATAGTCGTGTAATCGATTGGCTCCCCCATCGGCACATATCCTGTAATCCGAAAGCTTCCAAAGGTCTTCGAACACTTGGTTAGGATGCCCATTCCTAGCGATCTTGATGGGTGTGTTTAAGATTATCAGGTAGGTCTTCGACTTTCGGCTGATTGAAGTGCTTCGGTTGAATGGCCCATCCCAGCGTCTTTCGGCCATCTTGGTTGGTTGTCGTTTGGAAATATCCAAATTCCAACTTCCCCCCCCTTCTCTGTGTCCAGGCCCTTTGAGACTAACAGTAACACACAAACCTCCCAGTGGACCCGGCAGCCAACCACTACCACAACTTCCTTCGGAACTTCAATCCCGACCCGGGCCAATGCACTCTTGCAGTCCTTCAAACATGCAAGCGCACCGAATCTCCGAAGATAAGATAGACGCGGAGTTATTTTACAGACGACTTGAGTTTCTCATCGCGTTTTGGAAGGTCAGCCCAACTTACGGGCCCTGTCATCTTTTTCCTTCCAGATTCTGATGTGCCCTTGCTTCTCGCCGAATCCTCCGTGATCGATTTTTGGGCGATTGCATATACCACAGGCGCTTGGCCAGGGTACTGACGATCCGGGAACAGATAAACTGAAGTCATGCGGGGGGATTGTGTTGGGTGAAGCACATCCATACACCAAGACGCGAGCGTTGCAAGTTTTCCTCTGCGGCAGACCATTGCTCTCCACCCTCATCCTGATCACACCCTACTCAGCTAGCTTCCTCTGCTCTGAGGACGAAGCGGAAAATCTTGTTTCCCTAGTCCACCTTCCCCAGGATCGAATGAACGATAAAATCAATGTCAAGGTAATCGTCAAGCCAGTCAAACTGGCAGCAGCCAACTTGGCAATGGAAGCTTTCCTGACTTCTATCGAGGAAGTCACATTGAAAACAGGAAAAAAGGTCGGGTGCTTGCGGGACGGTGAGCCCATTGAGGACGATTTTATGGTATGATCGCCAGTCTTTCTTCTCGTGGACTTTTGATTATCACTGATCATCGTGTTTTTACGTTACAGAATGAGTGGAATGATTTTTTGGAAAGCAGTGGCAAGAAATCTCTATTTTCAAAGGCGCCCAACATTTCTGCTGGCGTGTCTGTCTTCTTGGCATCCAAGCAGCCGCAAGAAATAGTCAGTCAGTCCACACCAGTAATCTGGACGTTGACCCGGTGCGGTGAAAATTTACCGATCTCATTACAACCTTTCTGATGTTTCTTCGTGGATGTTATTTTTGAATACGCTTCAGCGCCATACTGAAGTAGCCTGTCAAATGTCTCGAGAACTGATGTCCGCTGTGCGATCTGAAATCATCAATCAAATGGGGTCAAAAGAAAAGACTATGTAGGGATTCATTCTACGATTTACTCTTTGATAGCTTGATTGACGGAATCGATTCGCGTCGCATTCGTAATTCAACAGCAGGATATGTGGAAACCTCCGAGACCTGATTCAGCGCAAGCACGAGGAAGGAAGCATATGGAAAGGAGCTAAGTACAAACCGGACGTAGGTATAAATTTATCTTCCGAGCGCTTGTCTATTAGTTTTTTTGATCTCATCTTGTCCCCTCTTAGGTTGATCCTACGTTTGGTTATCTATGTTACTCGCCAACCATCCAAGCCGGAAGCAAGTATGACAGAAGAAAATCTAGCCGAACAGGTGCTGATGAGCGACTCGACGCGACTGAAATTATCCTAGTCCACTTAGGAACCCAGTATAGATCATACAATTCGGATGTATCCCGAACTGTTATGATCGAACCACACCCAGTCAGTCAATCAGAATCTCACTGAACATAACTGTTGCATATCTAACTGATTTACTATTCCATTCAGAGCCAAGAGGCAAACTACGAGTTTTTGCTCGACTTGCAGAAGTTTGCTATCAGCATAATGAAAGAAGGAGCCGGCGCGAATCTAGTCTACCATGCAATCAAGACGAAGGTGGCTGCAGACCGTCCCGAACTTGAGTCTCATCTTCCAAAGAGTTTTGGATCCGGTGTAAGCTTCCTATGTCACATCAACTGTTTTATTGGCCATCCATCTAGAGATCATGTTATCAAGGAAAGTGGATGTCTGATCTTTCTGCGCGTGTCTGTTTTTTTTTCTTTTTCTCACTTTCAGCTGGGTGTAGAGTTTGGGGACCCATTCTTGAGTTTGAAACCAAAATGCACTCGAGTCTTGAAAACGAAGATGATATTCTCGTTATCGCTATCCTTTACGAAGCTGAAAGATCCGATGGAAAACGATAAGACGTACTCGCTCCAGCTTACAGACACCGTGTTGGTAGGGCAAGAAGGATCGATGGTCTTGTCGGATCTCCCAACAGAACTCTCGCAGATTACTTATTTTCGTCATCATCCAGCACCCAGAGATCTCCCGCAGGAACAAGATGGACACAGCCCAGCTCGAAGCTTTCAACAAGGTGATGCAGATAATGATGGGAGTATTGCTGGGGAGACGATTATTCCTGAAGGAGCACGGTCGAAAAGGCCGAGGAGCTTTCCCGAAGAGGCAGATGACACGACTAAACGCCAGAAAGTCGCTTCCTCTTCATCTCCGCCAAACCATTGTGATGTCAATTTCCGCTCAACATCCCCGAAGAAAACAGCTCATGAGGAAGAAGAAGATGGAGACGACCGGTGGCCAATCTTCAAACAAATGGGTCGGTTTTTAAACAGGTTAATGCATGTTTGACGTCACTAGAAGCACAAGTACAAACAGATAAGGAAAGCTTTGGAGTAAAGAAAAGACTACAGACGGGATGTCTAAAGGCTCCATAAAACTCAAGTAAAATTTTGCTTGGGAGTAAATAAAAATGAAAATTCCAGATGTCGCGTTCAGGGCTGACTTGGACCCATGTTTTGGATCTTCATTTTTCCACACACAAACACTTTATCTCTTCCCTTATGAAAATATCTTTTGAAATAAATTAAAGCCCAATAGATATTTACACTGGGCTGAAGGCAAGCGAAGGAACTGTCAAGCAGATGTGCAGATACATCTTGGAGTTCTGCCTCTTTGCTCTGCAGATGATACACCCCGTTTTCTTAGTGCTTATTGATTTGATTTTTGTTTGTGGCTAGGGCCCAGCAGAAAGAAGCTATTCTAAGTAGTTCATATTGGATGAGATTTTTAACAATATATTTTGATTGAGGTACTTAAATGTTAGAATTGGTTTTGTGTGATGCCATCGGTGCCGGTGAACTTTATTTGTTACTAAATTCGGATTTGACTTTGAATATGCATTATTCAACTCTGCTCCCGATTCGACCCAGTCTGGGGATGTACCGGGGGGTGAGGGAGTCATACCCGAATGGAATCGGGTGAGAAGGCACAGTAAGCTTGGTTGGTGGTCACTTCACCTTCAAACAGTCAACCTGTTTATCCGGAATCGGTCGAGAGATGTTTGTTTCTCCAAGAAGATTACGACTAGCCACGCAAAATGGAAACGCTATCCTCCTACAGTCTATCGCCTCAAGTCGGCTGGACCCCTCTATCCGATCTTCAGTCCAAGCTCCTCAATCTAGGAAACTAGGCTCGATTGCAAAGATCCAAGCACTCGGTAAACCTGCAGGCGCGGAAGAGGAGGAAGACGATCTTCTATCTAGTCTCACAAAACGTAGAGGAGGTCGAACTAAAAAAGGTATTCAAAAAATCAGCCCAAAAGATTGGCTATTGACTGAAGAGGGCTTGAAGTTTAGACATCCAACGATCGGTAGACCGAATTGGCTGGGTGATGAGATTGTCAGTCTTGAAATTCCCTTACACATCGGCCATGTTCAACACCTATCTGATATTCTCAACCTCCTTTTTTCATTTCTCTAGCCGTTTCCGACCAATCCCTGGTTCAAACCGCAGCCGCCAATCTCAGACAAAATTCGTACTCAAGTCTATGAATCATTCAAACAGCGAATTCATGCAATCTACAAGCAACAATCGTATCCCAATTTATCCCTGGATGAGAAAACAAGACAAGAACAAATTTTGATCCGAGAGACATCAGATCAATGGGGAATCTGTCGCGACCGAGTCTCTGCGATCATCAGATTGAAGGCAATGGAAGACTCTTGGCCATTAAACGAGACAAATGAAGAAGGACAACCGATCAAACCACACAAACGAACCTTGCAGTTAAATTTCGAAAAAGGCATGGAGAGTGTCTTGGGAGTCCAAACCGACCCAGCCATCCGACTCAATCCAGATATCAATCAACTTGCCAATCGCCGCCTCCAGCGTAAATCAAGCTTTTATGGTACTGAGTTTGTCCCCATCGATTCCCCCGAACCCAGCCCCCAGCCAGCCCAACCACCATCTGAAATGAATGCAACTGAAGCTCAGCGATCGAAGAATAAGAACAAATATCAGGAAGATGGCGAGCCGACGGAAACCAGAGTACGTCGAAAATCTTCGTCCCTAATCTTTGAAGTATATGACAAGAGTCCTTTGTGGCAATTCTGACTTGCCCTGCCATGCATTTTGTGATCGCCTTAGCATGTCATCGGAAGCGATGGCTTGCCCCGTCCGTCGACTTGTTATATCTCTAAACCACCCAACAAAGTTCCGATGGTTTTCACCGATGTTTCCGAATTCCCTCGAGCTCCTAAACCGATGAGCAAACGCAAGGCCAGATATTATCCCAAAACTTCTCTCCTACCGGATTATTCGGCGCAACCTACCCGCTCTAGCCCATCCTCTGCGCGTCGATCACACTCTACAGCGGCAGCAACGATAGCTTCAGTTGAACAACTGAATAACCCACAATTTCCCCCATCAAATAGCGATATTCATGAGACTGCTGCTGCTTCAAAAGCGCAGCAGGAGAAATCGGATGAAGAAAAGAGAAATCTTGCCGGTCGACTACTTAGACAGCTCAAGGGTTGTGCGAGCTCCGAAAATGGATCGAAATTATTAGATCAACTCAGTACCTCGCCTGATTATTCGGAGTTCAGTAGCTTGACCGGTATCGACGCGGACGAAATCAAGGAATCTTTGTTGCTCCGGGCAGGAGGGCTATCATTCAAAGCCTCGGGCGGTAAAAAAATTATGGAGGAGTTTCATCCAGATCGGATCAACTCGATCAGAAATGAAAATGAAGCTCCTGTATCGGAGGATGAGAAACAGATTCGATCGATCAAATTGGAAATGATCAAATCGATTTACCTCAAAAAATTAGAACTCAATTCATCTGGAAGGTTATTGTTACCCAAATCGATTCGAACGAAAGAAGACAAGGATCTCAAAATCCTACAAAGCGCCGGATCGACATCTGCAACTTCCAGTGCGGATCAAAGTAGTAGTAGTAGTAGTAGCAGTGCGTCTGGTCCAACTCCGTCGGGCTCTTCGGATTTGATCAGCAGTCGGAGTAACCAATTGGTCCGCAAATGCATGAAAGGCCCTCTCGGCAGGATCAAACAGAGACAACTTCTGGCTAACCGAAACCAATCCGTTAATCATTGAATCTCAACCTCGACAAAAACTCCTGCGGAAACGACTTGCGATCTTTTGTTCACTCGATTCTCATCTGATTTGTCCGCTCAAGTTGTTTTCTCTTATTTGAACAATCTCTTCTCTTTTTATGTCGTTTAGCTTTTCAATTCTTTTGTCTTCAGTTTCTTATATTCTGTCCTTTTTCTCTTGTGTTGACATGTTCAGATGAGAAATCATAAGTTTTTTTAGACGGTAATGCACGGATTTACGTAACAGGTGAACGAATATACTGACTGAATTACGTAAGGTGACATCGAGAAGTCTTAATAGCTCAGTTGGGAGAGCGTCAGACTGAAGTGCCTTGAGACAACAGGTCAGCCTCATCTGAAGGTCCAGTGTTCAAGCCACTGTTGGGACAATCCTCTTTTTTCCAGGTGGGTAGAGGGATGACTGCTTTTGATTGGGAGAAGCTTTTGCTCAGTTTTTGGGTCGATCTTTATAATTGTTCCTTTGTGATTGTAATCCTTGGAAAACACAGGATGATTCTATTTTTTAGGTAACTAACAAGTCCACAGGCTAGTTAAAATTGGAATGAGATGTCTCAAGTTTTTAACGGTATACTTAACTTAATATTATATCAAAAGGTAATAAATCACAACGGGTTCGACTTCTTCACAAAATAAAAGAATGAGAAACTACTTCAGAGGAAAATGGGATAAAAGACTACTTCAGAGGACGATAGGGGTAAGAACTGCTGGAAGAAAGAGATAGTGGATACTCCATTCATCAAGTGGCTTGAAAATTGAGAACAGTCTTGCGGGTTTGTTGGTTGCCATAGAAAACAGTGGGAGAGTCAGGAGGAGAAAGGAAATTGTCCAAAGTCTTCCCCCGCCAAGACGCTTGGGTATAAGTGGTATCAAGATCGGCTCAATTAGAGCTCCTAAACTTTGGACTACAAAGCACAAGAACACGCAGAATATCTCTAGTCGCGAAACATTCCCGTGGGAGGTGGTGGGATCTGCCATTAGAAAGAATGCTACAGACACATACAAAAAGAGCCACCATCAGATTAGAGATACTCAACATAACTTTTTGTTTGGAGAAATCTTGGGGAAACTTACGATAGGCGTGCATGAAACCACTAGCCATGAAAGCGCCGACAAAGCCCGCCATCTTCTGGGCTTGAGTGCTGAATCCTAGAGCTCGTGTCATACCACCCAGTGGGAATGCTCCCAGAACGACGAACGACCGACGGAAAAGTTGATGCCAGGTCTTTCCCCAAAATTCTGATAACGAATTGAACGCAAAGACATTTTCGAAGAGCGGCGGATAGTAAACCGGGTCGGCGAACTCGCAAATCACGTCAGGGAAACCAAGTCGGCAAAGAAGTGGATGTGTGAGGTGGGCGAGGACCGCTAGGGCCGAATTCATAGCTTCGAACGAAGCACAAAGACCCGTAAGTAGAATCGGGGTGCTCATGAATCGCGCCATAAATACGAGGGTGGGCAGGGATACATTTCGTCCCAAAAAAACAAAAGATTGAATCGTTGAAGTGGTTGACAGTTTCTCCATGTAAAGCAATCCCGCCAAGACTGTCAATGAATAGATATGACAAATCAAAAATTTCAACATGTCGCAGCCCAAACTGTTGTGATTCAGCTTTGAGAAGTGACCCCAAGGAAATTGTGATCCGCGCATACTGATTTTTTTTCAAAACAAATGAGAAGCAAACATCACATTTTATTAGCCTCGATGCCAACCAACCAGGAAGTGTTTATTTCTTTCTTTCTTTCAAACTTCTTAGAAACGAATGACCAATTGACTCACGATGTCAATTGCAATAGAACCTGATCTATCAGTGAGCTAGGAGGAAGTCGATCTTTCAGATTTTTCTCCGCAGCTTCCCATGCCCCGGCTGAATCATCACTACTTCTAACATATCTTCGCCGATGTTGCGGTCCTGAGAAGAGTCCCCAATCGAGGCATTTGGTCATCATAACGTAAGTCCATGCAAAATTTCCGATGTTGGCCGACACTTTGGTCTCTCTAGGTTCCACGAGGAATAAGAAAGGGTAACATAGCCACCAAGTGGCTGAGATGAGTGAGAGTGGAACTCGAAGGCAGCGCGCAAGTCTAGAGTGATAATATTTAGGGTGAGTCCAGGCGGAAAGTACCAAGCTGAGGAAGAAAAAATATTTGGTGGAATGTTGTAGGATCGATTTATCCGGCATGAGCCCAACGAAATTATTCCAGATACCAGACATTGAAGGAAAGGCGGGCTAATGAAGGGCTAAGAGCTAGAAGATCTCGCCTTTGAGAGAAACTGAGGACTTTCTAAATTATTGTGGAGGGGTATTTAAACGAAAGTGGACGAGCACCTGAGGCTGTGTTAACAGAGGAGCAGAAAAAATAAAGTAAACTTCAACGATGGATTATCGGATAAATACCCTTTAATTGTCAGCATGACATCCATCTATTCCCATACACACCTCAAGATCAATCGCGGTGAAGAGGACTCCCTCAGATAGGCTCACAGTTCTACTGGGCTCCTTAAACCTTTCCTCCACTTCGAAATACGTACTAGTCTTATAACCCCGTCACTGGAACTTGTGATAATCTGCGTGCTCTGTAGGAATTCCTGCCATCAGGAGGAAGCGGGGCCAGTATGTAAGCAGTTTTGATCGAGTTCAACCATTGTGAAGTACATTCTCGATGATACATCAAGAGCTCTTAAAGGAATACTCACTAACCTGTGTGCAACAGACTCAGTCCGACCTTGTTAAGTAAGGAAAAGCGGCGCGTGGCTGCTGGTATGATTAACAAATACAGGGAATCGATATAGGGGTTGTATCTGAAACTTTTCATGAAAAGGTTAGGTTAGGTTACTCAGAACTTCATAGCTGCTGCTGCTGCCAGCTACCGTGTAAGCAAAGTGTCAAACCATCTGTTCAACCATCTTCATCAGCATCCAATTCCATTCCTCAAGGTTTTGACGCCGTCGGCAGTTGAATCCTGTTGAATCTCTTGACAAGTCCTCGATCGTTGAAAGCTCGTGAGGGCAGCCCAAGGCCCCAACTGGACCGGGGCGACAGGTTTCAGTGTGGTGGGATGTAAACTTTAGACAACAGCTGCGCCAAGACTTGGTCAGTTACATTTGAAGTGCAGCGGAAATGGAAGCCGCCATTTGATGCTTCCACCTTTCAACCAGTCGGCTGCATCTACCGGGGTGACAGCTCTCATCCTGTCTCAACGGGTTTGCTGAACATTTCAAACAGCACCTCGAACCTAATCTTTGAGCAGCATGTATGTTGGGGAATTGTCACCAGAGAAGTTGCAGGGCGTGCGATGTCAGTTTTTTACCAGAAAACGTGTACAATTTTAGACCGTTTCCATGTGAGGGATTGACAGCACCTCTGCATGGCAAAGTCTCTATGTACCTCGCACTAGATGTTGTATAATTGCCAATCAGCAACGACAGCACCCCCGGGGAGAACCAGGGCCCGGTGACAACGTCTTTCTGACTTGAACAAATCAGTAGGTCTTTTGTATGAAAATGTAACCCTGCTGTTTGCTGTCAATTCAAAAAAGTCCCATCAAACATATGCATCAACCTACAGAATTTTATTGATCTGTGCATGCTTTTGAGACCAACATTAACTATTTTTGGGGGGGAGATATTCTTGTTGAAAGTTAAAGATCAAGATTGGGTGGGTTAGCCTTGGACATACCAAGCCTGGCCCCAGACTCCTGAGGTAGACACAAGCTGTCCAGTTCCAATGAGCAAGGAGGCCTCCAGTTCAAATGGGTTGACTGTGGGCATTCTACCAGGGGCCCAGAGGTCAAGTAGTGCAAGATGGTCAGATTTGAAAGAATGGGTGTATTTTAAGCTCATATGAGGGGGATTTGTTTGGTTTCTATGTTCTTAATACTTTTGAACACAAATCTTGAAAAGAACACCAACACAAGATATAACCTGCATGTCTCTCATGGATAAATGAGAAACTCTTAAATGATAAAGAAATGAAAGAAATAAATTTGCCCCTTAATTCAGTGTTAAGTAGAGTGCCCAAATATGGAGTTTATGTGCTGTGTGGTCTGAGATTTATTTGATTTGGTGCTTATTCAATGATACCCAACCTGAGTGGATCAGATCAAAGGCGGGCTGATGTTTTACAATGCAATATTTCAGCCCTTCTGTGTAACATATTGGCTCATCAAGTTTTCTTTCTTTCTTTTTATTATTATTTTTATCAAAAATGTCAATTTCCAATACTTTATCACACTTTGCAGACTAATACATTCTGTAGCAACAACAAACATACCTGTATTCACTGTTATCAAGAGCATTTCTTGGGTCCTCAATGTTATTATTACTGGAAAAAATGCCACATTTTGATAACAATAACATTGCAGAGTGGCAATTTTTCATGTATGATGGAAAAATTCAATTTTATGGGTTGACCAATACAAAACCAATAGTTTTGCCCCATATTGTATTTTATCATGTATTTCAAAATGTTGCATCAGGGTGAAGCCTTTCTTGCTGTATCAATGTGTCAACCAGCATCAAAACATTTCCCTGAAAGCTGTATATAAGAGAGGACTCACCTTGGTTACAGTCCTCATACAGAACTCCATCAAGCATAAAGTTTTGTCAACAGTATTTCTGGGGGGTACCTGTAAATCTTGATGACCTCTCTCATACTGAGTTGTGGGTGAACCACAAAGGAAGATTGCTAAGCTGGCACAGGTGATCACTTATTTTCAGTACATCAGATTGGGCAAACTGTACAAAGAATTTGTTTTTCCCATACCAACAGGTCACAAACATTTACTATGCCTCAGAGCTAGAAGTTGTGATATTCTTCTGAGCTACTTAAGATTTTTTTTAATTCATTAGTTTGTTTCCTCCCTAAATTAAGCATATGATAAATAATCAACCACATATGAAGATGCTAAAAATTAAGCACTGTTTGCATGCTTTCATTTCTATATCTGCAGGTCTTATTGAACCAACTATTTCCAAACCTGTTGTTGATCTATGTGGGAATACTCATGATCCACACCAAACAATAAAGGGTTTGAATTCCTCAAACTGCATTAGGCCATCCCCAAGACCCTCAGCAGAAGAAAGGATGACAAAGAAAAGCCGAACTGATGTGAGGGAAAGGAGCTCAACTGATATGCATGTCAACAGCAGAGCGGACCAAGTGAAATTTTTTCCAGGTAATGAGAGGTTTCCCATCTCCAACCATGATTTTTTTTCTACCTTCCATTTCACTCTACCCAAAGGTACTTTGTATGAATGGCTGAATGGAAATCTGTGTCTTTCTTTTTTTTCACATCTGAATGGTGTCAGTGAAAGTTACTCAAATCACCAACCCATTGCTCTCTGGGAACACTCATGATTTATCCCAAGAAACACAACCTATCCAGCATTCAAATTGGATCAGGCCATCCCAAATGAACTCAGAAGGACCAGGGGAGAAAAAGAGCATTCCTAATGGTGTGGTAGGATTCACTGTAAATGGAAATGATGATCAACACTGTGTAGATGACAAAACAACCACAGACCAGTCCAATTATCAGCCAGGTAGAGTGTTTTCCTATTTTGAATCTGTCATTTTGGATTACTTTTTTTCCCATTTCAGAGATGATATTTATGCTTAGCTGAACCATTTCTTTTCTTCACATTTGAGTGTTATCAGTCAAAATTCCCAAACTTCCCAGCACTCCTGGAGCTTCTACAGATGCAAGGCTCCAAAGAAACCAGGAAGAGATTCATCCACCATGGCTTAAACCATATTTGGAACTATTGGACCATTCACCACCTCAGAATCCCCAAGATCCATACATGACTGGTGAGTTTAAGCTAAAGATTTATAAAACTGGTAAAGCTTCATTCAAAAACTACAGAGATCCAAATTAGGATGAAGTTACAAAAGATAAAATCTAGCTGTTCAAATAAAAAGAATTTTCTTTTGAGGGCTTCCCTCTTGAGAAATTTCTAGTTATATTATTTTCACAAAAGCTTTTGCTATATGGAAACTGAATATGTATGTGTCTATTTACTTCCAGGTGAATCAAACACACAGAAGTTCAAATCAAGCAACATTGACCTTCATGAACGGAGGGGTAAACAAAAGGAGAATATATCTGAAGGATACATCTTCACTTCAAAGAAAGAAAAATACATTCCTCACTTGAATGTTCAAAACATGAGAAATTCCCAAAAGTTGGCATCAAAGAAGTCAAGTAAGTCTCACGTTAAATACCTCAAAATCCTAGCAGTTTCAACATGATACTTGTCTCATTTTCCAAACTTCTTTTGGGATAAAAACAGTTCAAAAACCTGTAATTAACACCAAAAAACTAGGACATCCCTCCAGACAAAGAAACCCTGCAGAAATAAAAAGTTTCCATCAACATCCAAAGATCCTTCCCTTTGAAGAAGTTGAAGAAGAGGCTGATTTTGCATTGAGTCTGTTTAAGAAAGAGTTCAAAGAAAAATATCCCGGAATAAGTTCTGCCCATTCACATCAGATTAAATATTCATTTATGAGATTGATCAGTTCAGTGTTTCTGTTCAATGTTAAGATCTTGAAAGAAGTTGGAATCAATCAAGCAGAAATAACAGCTTCTAATCTTGAAATAACCAAACATATAATCCTCCCTATGATTTTCCCTACTCAAAATCAAGTCTTAAGGATCTCACAACTCATGAAAACTAGACCTCAAATTACTCTTCTGGTGATCAATAGCTTTCAAAAAACTTTGCATGATCCAAGATATTCTAATCTTGTTGATAGCACATTAACCTTCTTGGTATATTTTTATTACCATAAATATCCTCAGAGACCGTTTTTGTCTAGAAAGAAGTCTCTAGATTTCTTAGTTAGACATCAAATCTAGGAGAAACATCACTCCCACTAACCAGATATTCCCATCAACTCTCTCAAAAATTCTTGATAGGCGGGTATCAAATATACCA